CCCTCTGACCCCTGCAGTGCTGACACAGAGTGGACAGAGTGGGACGCTTCTATAAAACATAGTTAACTTCCTTTAATCAGAGGAGGGTGGCCCACCTCCCCCATCCTCCTCAGACTCCCCAGACTCCGTCTGTGAATACTTTTATATTTATATTTTTTATATATTTTGGCGCATTGGTGTTGAGGCCACGCCCCCTAAAGTCTCCGTCTTTTGCAGGTCTCTGATGCATTTTTAAAATTAGCTGAGAGGGAGGAGCAGAACTGAGTTACACGAGTTACAAGAGGCTAACTGGCTGCTTCTCAGTCTTTATGCTAAGCTACGCTAACAGGCTGCCGGCTGTAGCTTCATATTTACCCTACAGAATTATCTTAAAACTGGTTGAGGAGGATTTTTGCTTCTTGTCTCATATCTTGTGTTTTCTTTGATTTTGTGGAGCTACTCTGATGAAAGAACAATTTCAGACTTAATCTGATAACAAACTGTTTGTCATCAGCAGCAGCATTTCATCCGGTTACGAGCTGCTTTTACTTTTGCTTCGCTTACAGTGAAGTAAGTTTCTGTTGCAGTAAACAGGCGCTCTTCTGAACTTCCTCAGAAAACCAAGCAGCGATGGACGGAGGCGGAGCCAGCGACACACCTTTACCGCCTCCAGTCAGAAAAGCTGCTTTGAGAAGCCGAAATTCACCCTGATGGAAAAATAACCCTCACATGTAATATTGGTTACATAATCTCAGAGCGATATGAGGCTGTTGAGCGTGTGTGTGCAGGTGTAGTGGAGCTCAACTGTGCTCTCGGGTTGACAGACGTGAGGAGAATAAAGCTGACAGTTAATCCACTGATTGACTGTTATCGGCTGGATTTACGTGGCTAAAAGACTCAAAGTCGCACTGAATTCAGTAGGTCAAAGGTCATGTTTCAGCGAGACGTTTGCATGTGAGGATGTTTGTTCAGTTTCTCCCCACATTGTACAAATTAAACAACACACAATATCTTTATATTAGATTCAATACGAAATACATCTGTTGTTGTTATACATCTACAGTAACTAGAGGAAACGCTCTCGCTGGGATTGTAAGACGGATCACGGAGCCGGATGACGTCACAGACTCTGACGTTATAAAGCCGGTTGTCTTTCTGGGTTAGCCTTCCCAAAGCGAGCTCTTCTGCACTGCGGCGCCCTGTGTGTGCGCCCAGAGGTGTATGCAAATGGCCTCATTGTTTAACCCTGCGAGGTTGGGTGTGGGGAGATTGTCGTGTCGGTTGTGAGTGTGAGTTTGACCCGACAGCAGATAACATGGTAAAGGAGCAGGTGGAACAATAGGACGGGCTGAGTGATGCTCTGGTAACGAGCGTAGGCCGGATAATGGAGCCTTATGGAGAGCCAGCCTCGAGTGGCCGCTACAGGAACTGCAGTTGTTGGCTTCTACCTATTTTTAATGTGAACATATATCACACTTGTGTTCATGTATGTAACACTAAGGTGTGACTTGCCGAGCAAATTCCAGAATATCTTTAGATTTTCCTCTGTAAGGATGTTTATCTTTCCTTAATCAATAATCACTACAATCAATATCTACATTATCTTTATTAAAAAACATTTCAATATAATTTATTTCATCTGGCTAAATGAATAACATTGCTAGTAATATTGCACAATCTTTGTTTTTGTCTGTTTATATTTCAATTCAATTCA